GCGCTGTGCGCCCGGGAACGCCCCCGACGGCGCGGGGCTCCGCCGGCCCTCCGCGCGGCCTTCGGATCGCTCTTGTAAGAACTTCAGTTTGGGGAGAAACGACAGGAAACGGCCGCTGGAGCCAGCCTTGGGCGGCCGCGTCCCGCCCCCGCTACCCCCGCGGCGGAGCTGATGGCGCGGGAACCTCAGGCAGGGTGTTGGGTCTCCCGACCGGCCCGCGTTGGGGGTCTCTTCCCGAAACCCCTTTGCGCGGACACCGCAGTCGGCCGCCCCAGGCCGTCCGTGCTGCAGGCGCCCCGGGCGCCCTCGCCGGGCCCTCGGCACAGGCTGCGTCCTGCCTTCCGCGCTTCTCCCCAGGTGGGCCTGTCCTTGACACTCCCCGGAACCCCCCAGCATCCAGCTGCACTTTGTTTTAATAGGTCTAGCAGATAGAAAACTCCTTTGTGTGTTTTTTTTAAAGTGATTTTGAAGAAACCTCATTTAAGGTGTAAAGACCCCCAAACGGCCGCTCTCCGCCTTGGCCGAGCAATTCCAAATATTGTGCAGTCGCCAAACCTCCCCGTCTGCTGTCCCCTGCCCAGGATCAACGCTGCTCGCTTTAGAGGCGTGTTCCAAGTGCAACCCTTTGCTTCGGCTCAAATGCATTCCCTTAAGAGCCAACCAAGCGCTCCTGCGAGCCGCCTCCAAGCGCATCCCCAGGAACCCCTGGGGACGCGGGGTGGGGCTCCGGAGTGCAGCGAAGGCAAGAATGGGCTCTGACTCGGGGATATAGCGGACTGGGGCGATCCGCCGCTCAGAAAGGTCAGAGAAGGCTCCTCTGGGGCTCGAGCGGTATGAAACCCTAAACCCTGCGAGGGGCTGCGGGTTGGATTGTCCTTGGCAGTCTCCCGGGCGAGGGTCAAGTTCCTTTCCTTGGTAAGAAAAGAGGTGCAATTATAGATGCACTAAGTTTCGCCTTTCAAGAGCGGCACGGTGGGCGCTACTCAGCTAAGAGATTCAACCAATAAATCCCAAGTTCGAACGCCGGCAAGGACGATAATAGCAAAGAAAGCTACTGCTGATTTATTCTAAATCGGGCCGCCGGGCATTTGGGGTTCCCGGGATCTGCGCGAGCTGTAACCGCCCTGCTCGGTGCACACTTTAAAACCAGAAACAAAAAAACACTGCGCCTTCCTTAGTGAGGAACTAAAATGAATGGAAAGCAGGCAGCATGTGGCTCAGCTAAGAGGTGCCGGGAACCCCTCAGTCTGAACGGCTTGTAACAGAGCTTATAAAGTTCAGTAACAGCGTGTAGGAAATGAAGAATTCCTTTCCACCGAGAGCGCTCGTTTTAGCGGCAATGTAGAATTTCCCTTCCTCTGCCTCTCGAAGAGAGGAAGGAAAGGAAACATTGCCACATTCACTCCTGGTGTTCCCCTGGAATAATACTAAAATTTACTTTTGTCATAATACAAAATAAAAAAATACAACGAAGCGGTATGTTGGGCGAACGCTATGTGACATATTCTTCCAAATTTGCTGCATGGGGGACATTTCAAAAAGGCTCATAATAGGAATGAAATGTAAGTTTTCACAGTAAATTTTTAAAGTAGTATTTGGTTAGTTGGAAGAAAAATAACAATTGCACTGGAAAACAATAACAGCTCATTGACGTTTTTCTTCTGCAACTTTAGGTAAATATATAATTGTAGGTGGTCTCAGAAAATATCTAAATATTTTACAGTTTTGCTGTTTTAAAATGCTCAAAAATAAAACATACATAAAGGTAGGATTTGAATCTCAACCATTCTCTTAAATCAGAATTTCCCTCTGTGAGTAATATATTTTAAAAATTACATTTCTAAGAACATAATGTTTCTAAAAGAATTATTTCTATTTTCAGTGATCGTTTCAATGAAAATAAAAATCAGAGGATGTATTTTGCTAGTGGTTCTGGACCAAATTGCTGCCTTTGGTACTAATGTCACAGGGGAGGAGAATGTTTCGATGAAAAGTAACAAGTTAATGTATGTACAAATAACCTGCTGGATACCACATCCAGTTTTCAACACTGAAATTTAATTAAACCTTTTTTTCCCTCTTGAGTGGCTTTGAGATTATTTCCCTGTTGAAATCTAATTACTTTGGGGTTGAGATTCTTTAGTTCTTCTGCTACACACTTCTTCCATATGAGTGTTTCCATGGGATGCTGTGGTTGATGTGTGACTATTTCACTCTGACTTCATAAGTCAATTGTGCAGCTCACAAGAGCAAACTGAGAAAATTTTCAAATTAATCTTTTTCAAATTTAGGGATGCTTAGTAAACATTTTACCTTCATAAAATTTTTGCATTGCCATGCTATAATGAAGGTAATAAACTAGGTTATAACAGATAGAAGCCAAGCTCTATTTGTTTTTGAGAGTCATATTGTCATTTAATAACAGCAGAATGCACCTGTGTTAAATGCTGTAGGACTGAGGGCATTATTTAAGCTTTCATTGGAATGTTTTATATGGTTTGACATTTACAATAGGGAGAACAGCTTTTAAGTATTTTTGAATCAGCAAAAAAACCCACCTTAATTATTTGGTTAATTTATATCATAAGTTATTTATGGAGATACATAGATAAAAAATCATATATGTGCATATTTTATAAAAATATAATTTGGAATCTAACATACCGTGAATGTCTCTAGATGGATTCATTCCGTGTACACATTCTGAAAGAATAGAAAGTAGGAAAATAATAATTGTGTGAATATACTGACAGCAAGCCCCAAATTTACTGATAGTTGATGAATTTCATTCTAATTGCAATCAATGAAGGTATAAAAACTAAACTCCCCCCTCTTATGTTTTTGCTAGTTTATTGCCTCTCACACTTTTTAGCACTAGAGATTTTTATAGCATATTGTCCAGTTTTGGCACAAAAATAAAACAGTAAATCAGCAAATAAAAAATGGACTGTTACATATGCACATGATTTTATGTGCCTTCAACCAACGTTTTCCATTGATAGCTGATACTGAATCTTTATTTTTCATAGAATCACCTCTTTTCAGCTCTATATGTGATGCAAATGTGATTTATTTAATGAACATTAGAAATACATTTGGAGGGTGGAGGAATGAATCAGAATTTGAGGTGAAATTAAAACTAAACCCTAACTTAATGCAGACATTTAAAAATATGTAATACAGCAGAGGCTAAATGCAAGAAATAAAAATATGAATTTTTTAAAGCAATGAAAATAAACAATTTGGAATCCATCTTTTGAAAGAAACAAACTGATAGATAAACATGATCATTTACTTCCAATGATAGGACATTTTAGAAATATTTTCTCCTTGCTTGATTTCCTTTCTTTCCCTTTGCTAAGATGGCAGATTATTTATACTGAAACTTCTCAATCTTGAAATAACAGATG